AATATAATATAATATAAAAATAATAAAGATCTATATTTAATGTTTTTTATTAAGGTGAAGCATTGCTGAGTAAACCTCTTAAATGGCTTCAACTATCATTTAATTCTTAATAAAATCTATACATTTTCAAAGCTATGTAAATAGTTAATGTCTTTTTTTTGTATTATTAGTAATAGTACTTTTTTTTTTTTTTTTTTTTTTTTTTTTTGGTAATGTTCAAGAATATAGGTGTAATGTCATTTCTCGAAAAATCGCAGGGATAGGTTTTTAATGTCTATTATTATTGTCATGTTTAGATTGAATGGTTAAACACATAAGTGTTTAAGATGTGTGGTGGATAACTATGATTTAATCAGAAGTGGCTAGTGAAGCAATGCTGATGCTTATTTTTAAGTAACTTCAATTGAATCATGTTTATAAATTATTTAAGGATTTAATAATATATATTGAAATTTCTGAATTTTTCTATACATAACTATATGTTATTTTATAAATTTAATATTGAAAAAAATTATTGACATACCTACAACTAATCCTACATTCTGCAGTTAGATATGGCTATTTCAACTGAAAAATCTCCTATTCCCAGTTGCATTATTATGTTTTAATTAGCATATATCATAATAACTGAATGATAGTCGGTGATAGTTTACAGAGTATAATAATCTACACAGTTCAACAATTAGTATTTGATATTATTGAATAAGAATATAGAATTGATAAGAATATGCTTGGTTTAATATTATTAATTTTTATTAACTAATATGTATAAAGATTAATTCATGTGTTTCATGTTCTTCAGATTCTAACAGTTATTTACAAATTTAATATCTAAAAAAAAAGTTACTGCTATACCTCAGATTCGAACCCACTTCCCAATATCTTGAAAATCATGCCCAAAGTTGCCCACTCTAGTGGGACATGGCTGCATGAGGGGGGGAAACCCAATGTATTTCAGTAATAATCTTAATTTTTAATCAGAATTAATCCTAATAACAATATGCTGGTAAATGATAATTTATAAAATATAATAACCTACACACCTCAAGGATTATTATTTGATATTACTAAATGATTGAATTCATTAACTTTAAAAATTAATTAATTAATAATTAATAAATAGGATCTTTTAATGATTTAATTATTAGGATGCAAAGCAATAAAGCTTCTTATTAAAAACAAAAACCGTCAGTAAATTATGAAACTTTTTTATTTTATCTATAACGTTTTGGCAACTTATCTATAGCAAAAAAAATATTCAGTAATTAATAGTATTTTCATTGCATCTTTAACTACATTTACCTGTATTTTGTTATTTTATGATTACAAGTCATACAATTCTTTGATCATTTTAAAACTAGAGCACTCAGCCTACAAATATCTTACGGGAAACCATTAAATAGCAATGTAGTGAGCATTTTATTATATCATAACCTAAAAAATGAATGTCCTATTTTTCTTAAACATCAAATAATTTTTACCAATTTTTAATTATAAAATAATATTTTTTACCAAAACAGATAATTCTAAAAATATTTAAAAATAACCACCAAAATAAACATTTATTAACATTTTTAATTGCTATCTTTATAGGATATGTCCATCCATATTTACACATCATATTTATTTCTGTTATCAGTCTATGGACTGATCAATTCTATTAAATGATTCTGTTTGACATACACATACCAACTACATGTGTCATTATAACTATGAGAAATATACATATATATTTTTTTATTGATGAATTATGTATCATTAATCCTGAAACGTAGCAGGTAATGAGAACAACAGCAGTAAGTTAGTCATATTTTCAATTTAATTCACTGCTATGGTCCTCAAAACCAGCCAAATTTCAGGGTTAATGTTACTCAATACATCACAATGTGTTTTTTTTTTTTTTCCGATCCCTCTGAAACAAAACAAAACCATGATATAAGTGTCATATCGGACCAGTGCACTAGCGGAACGATACTTTGAATTACCTTGACCTTTTTCTACCTGTGGTATTTGAAGGTGCGTTGAATGATTTTTGTTGGTTATCTCTTCCTGTCCACTTAAGGTCTTGATAAGATGTATGGAGTTGAGGGTCCTCCGCTCGTTAAGTGAAAATATATAAATAAAATAAAAATTAAGCATAACGATAAAATAAGTAGGGGGGAGGAATAGGGATATGGATAGGGATGGGGAGGGGAGGACTAGCCGTGAGGCGGGTTAAATGATTATGTTGGTGGGGTTTATTGGACCCTTACGGCCTTGCCATCTGGCAGGGAGGGGGGATGGGGTGATGGATCGGAATAGTGGGTTAAAGGATGCAGGGAGGTTGTCGAAGAACTTGATATGTCTTCTTGAAATATGTTGTTGCACAAAGTCGAGTTGTAGTTCGTTATGTATGTGTTTCATGTTTCGTCTTTCTAATGTTGTCCCTTTGCAGATCTTCATGAGTATGCTGTTCTGGTATTGTTGTAGTTTCTTCAGGGCTGTGGGATATAGGTAGTGTAGGAGGGGGGCACCGTGGAGAAGTGAAGGTCTGAGTATGGCTTTATATATGAGTAATTTGAGTCTGAGTGATAGCCCTGGAGAATAGAGTAGATGGCGGAGTTGGTATGTGGTAGATTTTACTGTTTGTATTCTGTGTTGTATGTGCGCTGTGAAAGATAAGTGTGATTCGAGTTTTATTCCTAGGTATGTGAGATGTCTTTTTGTTTTTATAGTTTGACCGTTAAGTTTAGGTAGTTTTTCAGTTGTTTTCTTGAATGAGAATGTGATGGCGTCGGTTTTTGCGGGGTTGATGTGGATGTTTATGTTTTTAAGTTGGTCTATGATCAGTTGGGCTGCATTTTGTGCTCGGCGCATTGCGTGTTTAGCTCCCATGCTTGCTGTGTAGATAGCAATATCATCAGCATAAGCAGCTATTTGAACTTTGTCAATTTTGGTCCCAACTATTTGGGCAGTGTAAATATTAAATAGGATAGGCGCCAGAACTGAGCCCTGGGGGACGCCACAAGTAACTGGCCTAGGGGGTGACATGTCAGTTTTGACTCGAACTGAGAAGGTCCTGTCACTGAGATATGAGCCGATAATATCGACTAGTTGTACAGGGAATTGGTGATGCCTGAGTTTATCGATAAGGATGGAGTGGGATACAGAATCAAAAGCCTGTGTGCAGTCAAGGGAGATCATGGCTGTGGCAAGATTTTTATTTAGGTTATTAGCTGTTTCGTACTGTAATTTAGCCACGTGGTGATAACAGCTAACGCCGCGAGAGAACCCAGTTTGTTCAGGGGGTACAATGTCATGTGAATCGCAGTGTTTTCGGATGTGGATGAGGATTAGTTTCTCATATATTTTTGAGATGTGGTCGAGGAGACTGATCGGCCGATAATCTTCCGGGACCGCTCCTCGTTTCCGGGTTTGAGGAGTGGAACGACAATAGCATGTTTCCACTCCGTTGGGAAATATCTGAGGCGTGAGCATGAGTTAAAAATGTTAAGGAGAAACATTAGGGTTTTACGGGGTAGTTGTTTGATAAGGACAGAAGGAATATTGTCCTTTCCAGCAGACTTGTTTCCCTTTGTTTTTCTCAAAATTGCAGTCAGGTCTTTATATGTGGAGAATATTGTGTTATTTAGGTTATCCGTGTGGGAGATGTGATGATAAATGGTGTCAGTACGGGCATCGTCTCGTTCTACGTAGTAGTCTGATAGAATGCTAGCCTGGTCTGCAGGAGTGAGAAGCTCATCGCCTCGAAGGATTTTCACCGATTTGGATTTGGTGTTGTGGCTTCTGACTAGTTTCCAGAATTTTTTATGGTCGTTGTGGGTCCGGCGAAGTTGTTCATGCCATATTGACGTTTTCCACTGCGACATAAGGGATGTTATTTGTCTAGTAAGGCTGTTTATGATAGGTTTGTAAGTAGGGTCTTTAGTTCTGTACCAGCAGTTCTTGATGTTGTTACGTTGTTTTATGATTGATAGGATGTGTTTTGGTGGTATGCGAAGGTGAATTGGAATGGGGTTGAAGGTGGGTATGGTGGTGTTCGCTGCATTATGGATAATGTTGTGTAATGTACTAATGGCGTTGTCGATGTCTATAGTTGTTGTAAGTGTCGTGATGTTAGGTGTGTCACTATATACTTGTGTCTTGTATTGTTTCCAGTCAGCGTGTTTGAAATTGTATTTGTAGTCTGTGGGTTGAGTTAGGGTTGAGTTATGTCCTAGTTCGTATAGTACAGGTATGTGGTCGTTGTTGCTAAAGTCTATCGTGTTGCAGTTTGTGAATCTGTGTGGTTGTTGTGTGAGTAGTAGATCAAGTGTAGACGTGATATTTGGGTTAGCATGATGTCTATAAGTGTATGCATTAGGGTGTATGATTGTATAAGTAGATTTGGTCAGGAAGTTTCCTAATGCATTAGAGTTTGTGCAGTTCCATGTATGGTGTTTGGCGTTGAGATCTCCTACTATTATGTGACGTTTGTCTGTCTCGGTGTCCTTCAGAAATAGTTTTAATATGTCAGGTTTTCCACTAGGACTACGGTAAATGCATGTAATTTTGTATGTATGTTCAAGTTTTACTTGTATAGTAATTGCTGAGTGTTTGTCGTCATTTAGTGTAGTGTTGTTTATTAATCTGGAAGGGACGTCATAACGCACCAGAAGTGCGACGCCACCATGTGATGGGGAATCTAGTCGGTATATGTGGTACCCGGGGAAGTATATGTGAGTTAGTTTGTTGATTCGTGTATCAGTCAGTGCAACGACTGATGGCTTGTGGGAAGCCAGGAGAGTTTCTAGCTCAAGTTTACGAAGCATGAGCCCTGTTATGTTATAGTTTATAATCAAATGTCTAACCATTGATGTTTTTTTGAAGTATAAGGTTAACTGTGTTTAATAGGGTTGTGAACATGGACTTCATGTCCCTGAACATGCCCACGAGTTCGGAGACCCATGGGGGCTGTTCGTAGGGTGGGGATTGGGTGGTGGGAGGGGGAGCTAGGTGGGCTACTCCCGCATAAGAGTCGGGTCTTGAGGTGGTGGGCGGAGCTTGTGATGCTTTACCCTTTTGATCTTGTCTGGGGTTTGGTGCTGTATTTCTTCCAGCATGAGCCTGCACTATGTTTTGTAATAGTGCAAGTCTTTTTTCGCAATTGCGATAAGAGGCCACATGAGGGCCCTGACAATTTGCGCATTTGAGGGGGGTGTTTCGGGAGCATTCGCTGATGTCGTGGTGTTCACCACATCGTACGCATTTTATCTTGCGGGCACAGTAATTTTTTGTGTGGCCAAATTGCTGACAGTTGTAACACTGCCTGGGACCATTGATGTTCCTCAGTTTCTCAACTGAGTACCCCATATGGTCGATTGGACCAACTGCTTTGAGGTTGTCAATGGTAGTGTCAGGGTCTGTCGTGACTATAATATGTGGCAGTTCTATTTTGAAGCCATCTGCGTCGGTCTTTTTCATCCTCCATACAGATTTGAGTCCGGGTAAGCGGGCTTGGAGGGTTTCAGTAATTGAATCAAGGTCATGGTCAAGGTCCAGACCTTTAATGATAAATTTATTAAGCGGCCTTGAACCGCGTGGGGAGTAGGTGTGAAAATGAATTTCATCGCTGACATTTAGGACATGTATTGCAGCTTCGTAATCTGGTTTGATGTCCAAATACAATTTGGTTTCGTCCCTATTTGAACGAATGGTAAAGTTTTTAATTTTAGCATCTAATAGAGCTTTTCGTAATGTGTTCCTCTGTATTTTATAACCATTAAAGGCACTAAAAATACTGATTTTCCAAGAGCCAGACATTAAGAACCATTAAAGTTTAATCCTAATCAGCTTTAAATAAAGTTAATGGTTAATTTAACTTTAAGTATAACAAAATAACCCCGCAAAGATATTTAAATTCTAAATCATTAATAATTTATTCATTTCTTATTAAATAATATAAGAAAGCTTTAATTATTTAACCTTAGAGCTTTGAAAACTGGTTCACAGAAAGCAGCACTTCTGATCTTAAGTTATTGCTGCGTTTAAGTTATACATGTAAATCTTCTATTTAGTAGAACAAAAATATATGAATTTGTGTGTGTTTGTTTGAGTACTCGTACATCTAATATAAATTAAATGCACACAATTAGATAATAATTATAATTGTAATTATGAATTGTTCATTGTATTCATTAAATACAATGAATATCATTTACCTTTTGTTTAGTTACATTTGCTAAAATAAATGGATGAGAATCTTTATTACTGTTATTTTTTATTACTCTATTAACAATGAATGTTTATGAGACTATTTTATGTTTTGTTGTGATTTATTATTAACATGAAGATCTAATTGATGTTTCTTATTATTATTAAGTAAGAATTAAGATATTTCTTATAAAATATTTAATATAGTTTTTATATATCATCTTTCAATAATAATATTTTTTTTTTTATTATTTATTTATATGATATTTACAACTGTATACAAAAAATACATCTGATAAATTCGCACATTTTTATAAAGACATTGAACACATGTTGAGAAACTACCCATTGGTAGCACTCTAATAATATGTCTATATTAGAAGATCACGTGGCCATCTTCTTTTCAGACGACTCGGAGGGTTATCAGGAATCGAATAGGAAGCAAGGTTACAGACAAGAGGGTTGGGATGGTTATGAAGTTTATTATGGAAGGACAGATATCTGGATTGGGCCAAATCTGATACATAAGGAACATTAAGGTCATTATGGATAATTTTATTTGTAACGAAGTAAGGAGCATTGAGGATTTTACGAAGGATTTTGGATTGTTTGGATTGTATGCGAGAGGAATTTGAAGGTTTGGTGGAGCCCCATAGCTCAACTCCGTAAGTCCAAATAGGCCTTATTATAGTCATGTAAATCAGTCTTTTATAATTGATTGGAAGGTTAGAGCGTTTGTCTAGTAAGTGTTGAAGTAGTCGGAAACGTCAAGCTGTTTCTTGTCGTTTCGGTCTGGTATGAGGATTCCAAGTTAGACGTTTGTCCAGATGGAGTCCTAGGTAACGGATTTGTTCAACAGGAGTAAGTGAGGTGTTGTTAAAAAATACTGAAAGACAGGAAGTCATTGGTTTACGAGGAAGGGTGAAGGTAATTTGATGGGATTTGTTGGAATTTATTTTAATTCTCCAGTTCTGACACCATTCTTCAAGGTTTGTGATGTGGGATTGAAGGGTTTGGGATGCAATAGATGGGTCGTTATTAACTGATAGGATACATGTGTCATCAGCATATGTGGTGATGACAGTGTTGGGATGGGTTGGGATGTCAGCTGTCTAAACTGTGTAAAGGATAGGACCTAGGATACTACCTTGAGGAACACCTGCAGACTGGGAAAAACGGGATGTATAGACATTGTTGTGATTTACTTTAAAGTATCTATCAGTAAGGTAGGAACGGATAATGAGGAAGTAGGTAGATGGTAGGAATTTTCGGAGTTTGTACAGCAGTCCCCAATAATAATATAATATAATTTTTCTAAAACCTACAAGAGCCATTTATTGTTAACACTGTTATAGATTTATTGAATAGTTACAATTTTATATATACCTATATAGATACATAATTTATGTATGTGTGTGTGTACTCTTATATCTAATATAAATTATATATCATGGGTGATAAATATTCAGGACGCGATCTTTTTTAAATTTTTTTATTTTTGCCAACGTTTCAACCCAAACATGTGGGTCATCTTCAGGGCGTGGTTTGAGCACTGAGGTTGTTCATGTACTCAACTACTACTAGAGTACATGAACAACCTCAGTGCTCAAACCACGCCCTGAAGACGACCCACATGTTTGGGTTGAAAAGTTGGCAAAAATAAAAAAAAATTTTAAAAAAGACTGCGTCCTGAATATTTATCACCCATGATATGTAGAACAGCCGACTAACTTCCTTCAAGAATAAATTATATATACTCAATTAGATATTAATTGTGATTGTAAGTTTAACACAGTGAATAACATTTGCCTTTTGTTTAGTTAAAGTTGTTAAAATAAATGGATGTGAGTCTTTATTACAATTAACAAGGAATGTTTATGAGAGAATATTATGTTCTATTGTGATTTATTGTTAACATGAAGATCTAACTTCTTTTTATTAACTAAGAATAGCTATAATTCTTATAAAATAGATAATATAGTTTTTATATATCATCTTTCGATAATAATATAACCTAATTTTTTTAAAACCTACAGGAGCCATTTATTACAAGCACCGTTGAATTAATAAGTGACCTTATTCCCAATTAAATGGTTATGTTTAAATTTAATACTCAAAGGTCGATTAAAGAAAATTTGTAAAGATATATATATATATATATATTTATATATATATAAAATTGTTAACTATTCATTAAATCTGCAACGGTGCTTGTAATAAATGGCTCCTGTAGGTTTTAAAAAAATTAGGTTATATTATTATTGAAAGATGATATATAAAAACTATATTATCTATTTTATAAGAATTATAGCTATTCTTAGTTAATAAAAAGAAGTTAGATCTTCATGTTAACAATAAATCACAATAGAACATAATATTCTCTCATAAACATTCCTTGTTAATTGTAATAAAGACTCACATCCATTTATTTTAACAACTTTAACTAAACAAAAGGCAAATGTTATTCACTGTGTTAAACTTACAATCACAATTAATATCTAATTGAGTATATATAATTTATTCTTGAAGGAAGTTAGTCGACTGTTCTACATAAACTTCTCATAAACATTCCTTATTAATTGTAATAAAGACTCACATCCATTTATCCATATATATATATAGATATCTTTACAACTTTTCTTTAATCGACATTTGAGTATTAAATTTAAACATAACCATTTAATTGGGAATAAGGTCACTTATTAATTATTCAATAAACTACTAAATGTTCATTGCCTCTGTGTTTCCATCCAGATATTTTTCTTTTTATAAGTTAAAAATGGAATCCTGTTCAAAGTTTTAAAATAGAGCTTCGATACCTCAGGCAAGAGACACACCAACAGTCTCTGCACTGTCCACCAGCACATATATTAAGCTACTTCTTACAACTTTTCTTTGATCGACCTTTGAGTATTAAATTTAAACATAAACATTTAATTCGGAATAAGGTCACTTATTAATTATTCAATAAACTACTAAATGTTCATTGCCTCTGTGTTTATTCGACCTTTCGATCCTAGTATTTTTCTTTTTATAAATTAACAATAGGATCCTAATCAAAGTTTTAAAATAGAGCTTTGATACCTCAGGCCAGGGACACACCAACAGTCTCAGCACTATCTACCAGCCCATATATGAAGCTACTTAATACTTAAGCTATATAAATATAATACATATAAAAGCTACTAAAGCACATATATATTAAGAGTAGTTTAATGTATGTGCTGGTGGACGGTAATGAGACTGTCGGTGTGTCCCTGGCCGGAGGTATCAAAGCTTTATTTTAAAACTTTGAAGAGGATCCCATTGTTAACTTATAAAAAGAAAAATACCGGGATCAAAACGTCAAATAAACACAGAGGCAATAACATTTAGTAGTTTATTGAATATTTAATAAGTGATCTTATTCCCAATTAAATGGTTATGTTTAAATATATATATATATATATATATATATATATATATATATATATATATATATATATATATATAAACATACATCATGCATGTATTGTTTTCAGAAATTGTAAATTATTTTTTAAACATTTTCTTCCAAGTCTTGAGATATTGAGCCACAAATAGTATCATTATATATGGTATTTTAATTCTTATCCTGTTTATACATTTTTTTTTTTGAGATTTTAATGTTAGTTTGTAAAAAAAACCTATTTGTAATTTTAGTAAACATATTTTTTTTTTTAATATAATTCAAAATTTAATAACTTCTTTTATAAAAATTTATTTATTTTTAATAGAAAAATATTGAAATGCTATTGTAATAGAATTTTAAAATAAAATGCTAATCTTATGTATTCAAAGGTTCTATTAAATAATTATCTAATCAAAAGGTTATGACCTATTATCATGATACCAGATGTTTTGGTTTGAAATCCTTTGAAGTATTAAGATTAGATCTCATACTTTATTTTTTTTTAATTTTAATCCTCTTTGTTAACTCATAAATAAATAAATTTTTTCATTGTTGCTTTTAATTTACAAAAGTACCATGTACTTTTTTTATTTATTTTTTTTAAGAACTAAACTATCAATTGATAAACATCTGTAAACTTGCTAAAAAAGTGTAATTTGTTAAAGTTTTCTATTAAACATAAGAAATATATGCCTCATGGATAAAAATTTGAAAAATTTCTAGTGGCAGTCATTATTGTTATAACTTGATGATTTTTAATGTTATAATAAAGTTGTACTATTCAAAGTGTATGGGCGCCAAAATTATAATATAATTCAAAACATTCAGGTATAGAATGTAAGATAAAATAATCAGTGAAAAACTGTTAATTAACTCATGTAGTATTAATCTTCAATAAAAAATATATAATATATTAGTAAAGTTTATTTAGGAATTTAATAAAATTGTTACGTAAGAGATATTTTTATGTAATATAATACCTATAATTGTGTATCTCTTTTATGAATATTTAATATTAATATTTTAATATTATCGCAGTGGGTACTAGAGAAGTAGTTTTATTTAATAAATGCAAATCAACAAGGAAATATTCAGATTACCTTTAAAAAAATATATATATATATTTTGAAGTTACATTCAATAACTTGAAATAGGTGAATATGTTATATATTTTGTTTTT